TGCAGTAGACTACAAGGCTGAGCAAATATTCCTTTTAATTTTGTATAGATTGTTGGACAAAATCATACTAAAACTTTGAAGCATTTCAATCTTTTTAATAAAGTGGATTAAATGATCACATTGATTTAAGTAATACAAATTAAATGCAATCCAAAAGAAATGCAATAAAGTATGCTATCTCAAGACAGTGCAATATTAAAAATCTTTATTCTAAGTGATTTGACATTTTCTCAGTCTCCCAGTCTGCAAAAGTATCTGTGAAAAAATCAAAGTATGAAAGGTGTTCATTAAGATTTCAGTGAAAAACTTCTGATTCTAAGGATTTCTGTTGATGGTAATAATTTTAATACATTGTCATTGATAAGTGCTACTTAATAAAGCATCACTAATTTTCTCAACAGACTTTGCTGATGGAGGCCTTTTTTCTGCAAAATTTAACATACTGTCATAAAACTGAAAATTATGTTCATAAGTCAAAAGCATTCTTTTGCTTTCCATCACAATTTAGCTGTCATGTGACATTTCACTATATGAGCACTATTATCTGCAAGTATTTTTAAATAATTTTTAAGTAATATTTTTTTAAGAAAAATGTAACAAGAGTATATTTGCATTATATTTTGGTGTGGAGAATAGCTTTCAGAATAATGAAGCAATTTGGTGCAAGCCCTAAAGGTACTTGATACTGTTGAGTGTGTGTGGAACCTATTCTGAGCCCTCCTACAATGCAGCTCACAATGTCAAAATACAATATTTGGCATTCCACACTGTTATCAGGAAACTTTAGATGGTTTATTGCACATTCATTGTATTGATTACAGCTGGAGGCATTGATAGCATAAATAGAGTGGTTTTAATTAGTCAGAATGTGTGATTAGCTTTTCTGCTTTAATGAGATAAACTAGCTTCTTTAATAAAAAAAAAAATATATTCTTTATTCACTCAGAATAAAACCACAATTAACAGGAGCACAGACCACAACCTGTGTTTCTCAGAATATTGTCAAGTTGCGTCCATGCTAGTCCTTGACCTTTTTGTCAAGGTCAAACACATTTTTCAGGATGCTTTGTTAAAATTCACTGAAACCCTCTGTCCTACACATACACACCCATGCTTTAGTTGCTTCCTCAAAGCAACTGCAGATTTTACTATGGAAAGTTTGGTGTGACTGCTCAGCTGCAGCATCTGTCAGAATTCCCACTGTAAACCTGCTCCTCAGAAGTTTATCCACCAACTGCCAGCACTTAATCTCTAGTGTAATTTAACCAGGAAGATTTCAGCACTCATGAGATTTTTTTTTTTAAATTATCGTCAAGATTTTAGGAGGTTAATTTAGACTTTGCTAAATAACTTACAGAAGTAGTAAACCAGTTTTTAATACATATTGTGTAAAATGTTTTATCCTATAAAGTAATCCTAAATCAGCAATGAAACCCTAATGCTGTAATGTTTTGATTGCGTATCTTGGTGGGAGGGGGTTGAAGAGCAAAACTATTTCTTTTTCTTGGACACTGAGAGAAAAAATATTAACTGAATCAAGACTGTCTTAATAGGAAATATTAAACTTTCCAACACATCTCTGTTGCTTCTGTCATTGATAAAAACTTCTTTGCCTCCTTCTAGAACCATCAAAATCATTAGGTCTTACACTTGCACCTCCTAGGAAAAAGTAATCATTCATTTATTGAGATACATCAAAATAAGTACGAATATGAAACTGAACACTTTTATATAATACTTGACTCAAATAAATGAAGGATAAAATCAAAGATAAAATCACCCAGCTACTCAAAAAATCATCCCGTCTCTGATTCCTCAGACTTAATATTTCATGCAGATCTTCCAGATATGAGACTTCAAACTAAAATTCATCAGTTTCCTGAGTAGTAAAACCTATCAATATAGCACAAATACTGGTTTAACAACATATTATTATCTTGTTCCCTCATTGTTTTTTTAAGTGAATTGCCTCTTTCTTTTACTTGGAGGTAATTACCTTACTATCTTTCTTCCCTTCTTGCTAACATCCTCTATGCTTTACAGGTACTATTTTCTTTAGGAATTCCCTGATATATGTTTCATATGATAAACACGAATCTTTAAATGCTTCTGGTTTACGCCAGACTGGTAGAACTGCGTATGTACTCTAAAGCTTTTATATTCTGTAACTGTGTTTGTTGGTCTAAGATAATTCTCTGTAGAAGTGAGCACTGTCTCTCTCTCCTTGCACTTTTGTTTCAGCAGTTGTCCCAGCAGAAATTTTCCAGTTCTTCTCTGGCTCTCAAAAGCTGCTACCTTTTGCAAAAGCTGTAGTGAATGTGGAAGGAAAGGTACCTTGGGAAGCAGAGGTGTAGATTAGCACTCACAGTACTTCCTTACCTTCCCTAAATTTGATGCAGTTTCTCTGAGAGATCACCTTTGCCTTTGCTGACTTTGTGTTTCAGTGCAATTTTAGGGAATCAGCTGCTGCTTTCTGCTGTCAGCCACATCCTGTGAGCATGGTCAGATTCTCATGATTATGGTGGATGATTTTCAGGCAGATCAAACCACACACGAAAGGGACAGGAACAGAAAATATATTATACCATGCTACCAGGTAGCAGCCTGCATTTAACTGTTATTCTTAAAAACTTCTGAAGCTTTGGTGCAGACAAAGAGCCTTTGGCTGCATTCAGGGAAGGCAGAAATGGTGACAATGACAGAAATAATGAGAAGTCCAGGCAAGCACATGGCTGCGTGCATTGGTTGTACCAACTCCCACTGGCTTAGCTGAACAGCAGAAGAGAAGGATTGGCTGTGAAGTTGGCCATATATGTAAAAATAATATGATGCTGTAAGAAAATTTCAAAGCATGTTTTTTACATTTTGACATGATGGAAAATTCAATATCTCTTCCTTTAAATCTGCCATACTACTTGCTGGATTTCTACACCAACTGTTCTGTTTCCTGAGGCGGAAAATTAGTTTTTTTCCATTTTGACTGCAAACAGATAGGTGGTTGTCCCCAGATTCAACCCAGATTATGCACACATGCCAACAGGAGATGATATAGAATCAATAACAAGTCCAAAAGTAGCAGAAAAACTAAAAAAACCCCACAAAAGCAGTCAGGATATTTTAGCAATTGCACCAGATGACTGAGCCTTGCCAGATTTCTCTGACAGAAGTAACTTGTACCTGAGATCATGAAGGCTTTCCAGAAGATACAAGTGTATTTCCTATTTCCTTGGTGTTGGACAATCAAGTTGAGACAATTACAGTCTGGAATGTAAAGACATCTGCCAAGCTTTGGAAAAATGTATCCCTTTTAGACAACGCCATGGATGTTGAAGTTACCTCTACAGCTCTGGCTAATCTCCCCAGCCTGTAGCACAAATTCACATGCATAATGCTTTTGTGCCAGCTGTTAGAACAGCCAGACATAAATTGAATTAATCCCAAACCAAGTTTAATTTACTCTTTAGAGCTTCACTGTTCCCATCAGCTTGAAGCAAACATATGGGAATTTATCCCCTTCCATACCTCTTGCCTTGCAGGGAAATGGGTTGGTCAAAAATGTTGGATCTGGTTCTATCAAAATGAGATGATTCAGTGAGGTCCCTCAAATTCTGTGTTCAAGTGTTGACTTGCAGTTTTTCAGCCTAGTTAATTATGATATGGAAGCTTTAATGTGTCACAGCTCTTCACTGCTGGAGAGGAGAGGATGGGGTCTTAAGGAAATGCCAGCTATGCACAGTGTGCAGAGATTAATTTCAAACATGAAAAGAATTACAAGACATGGTCACCTGAACAAAGAAAGTCTTTGTGACATACATGTGTCCTTCCAGGGCTATCTTTCTCTGATAGATACTATAACATGAGTTATAGTATATAGTATATAGTGACTTTGTCACTGCACTGCAGTTTAAAATAAAAAACTGTGACAATAATAATAATAAAAACAGCTGTTCTGTTTTCCTTTCTCTGAGCTTTAAATATCAAAGATAGTGCTTCATAAAGTGGGGTACGTGAAAGGAACATTGAGCTTTGTGTGAATGTATGATAGCATGAAAATAATTTTTAGAAGCTATGACACTAGTGTCCAGGAGAGACATCATTTGTCCATCAATAGAAGAAAGTGCTCTTTCCTCTGTGATGAAGATCCTATCAAAATCTTTTTCTTTACAGAAGTAAAATAGATATAGGACATCTGTGATAAGAGTCCTCTATATTGTCTTGCCAGTAGGTAGAATCATGTTATGTTCAATAACAATTTTTTTCTATTACATGCAAGATTTTATAATTTTATTTATATAATAGGAAATAGATATCAAGAATTATTTATATTATATTTGCCTAAGAATGTTTTCCCCCTATATCAACAACAACATTCAGACTCAATCCAGAGTTTCCTCTTCAGAAAACTGTTAGTGGCACCCATTTCCCATCTCAGCTCTAACTCACCACCCATCCAGACAGGGAATGTTACACCATGTTCTGTGTCACCCTATTGCAGGGGCACCAAGCACTGCCAAGTCAGTAGTAACCAAACCAAACACTTCTTGTGATTGTCTTTAAGCATCTTTCTTTAGAGGGGGGTAAGGATTTTTAATCAAATTGACTCCACAGGTTGTTCATTCCAAGCCTTTATTCTTCAGAAAAGGACTGATGGGTCCTTCAGAGGATAACTCTGTGTGTTACGGATCACACCTCCTGCACACCCTGTGGTGAGAGAGCCACAGCAGCTGAAATCTGAAAAGCAAACCTGACTTAAACCACAGATTTTAAAGTGAACAGAACAGGTGAAAAGGCTAAAGAAGGAAGAAGCCTTAACATTTAATAATTATATTAACTGTAAAGTTTCTTTTTATAATAATAAAATCCAGCTTGATTTTGTTTCAGAACACTTGACAACCTGCAATTTCTTTTGATTTTTATTTTTTTAAATAATCAAAATAATTAGAAAAAAATGGAACACAAACTCTGTTTTTATAAATGGTATTTTGATTTGTATTTTTCAGGGACTGGTTAAATGAGTCTAGTCCCCATATCATTCCTGGAAGCCAACAACTAGAAGTGAACACTGAATCTTCAACAAAACAGAGAACTCCAGGTAGGAATTTATGAAGACAGTGAAAAGAACCTGGGTAGAAAGACACTTATAAATGTCCTTTCTGTAGTAGTGCTGGTACTGCCTTCTCATAGTTTTCTATCCTACTACTTTTTGGTTTCAAGTTCCTTTGTTTATATCTCAGCTCAAGTTAGCAGAGCTTTCCATAGAGTATTATTTGCCTTTGCTAGAATAACACACAGTTGCTGTTTCCTGATGTTCTGGCTCTATACAGACTAACTCATAAAAAATGCATTTTATTTGCTAAAAATGAGGAATTTATGCTAATGGAGATGGCAAACTTAGGTAACAAAGAACACAAAGACTAAACATTCTTATTCAGGGGCATGATTATACTTGCATAAGAGATATTTCTCTTATGAAGAAAAACTGCAGATTTAGCTTTAAATGAAATCTTAGTGTGATTTCCTGAGAACTGTTGTCACCAGAGTTACAGGCTTTCTCTTATTAATGGTGTTTGCTTAGAGAATGGTAAAGACCTTAACTGAAACTGGAAAGTCAACAACAGAATAAAGAAAATACCTTGTTTTCCTCAAATGCCCTTTTTCTTATCAGTTGTCTTAGGAAACAAGGTAGAAGAATCATCATCATAGAGTATCATAAAATGCTTTGGGATGAAAAGGACCTTGGAGTGCAGTTCCAACCCCCCCTGCCATGGACAGGGACACCTTCCCCTCAACCAGGCTGCTCGAGGCCAGGTCCAACCTGGCCTTGGGCACTTCCAGGATAGACATTTACATTTTCCTTCAGGTCTTAGGAATTCACTGGAAGCTCTCATAAATCTGACCCCTGTATTCTGGCTGTCCAAGGGGTAAAGACATCTCAGTGATTTACTGTCTAAAATAAATTATGCCACTCAAATTGGGAACATTTTCACAGACGTATACTTGTAATTGTTTGTGACAGCAAAATACAATTTTTCTGTCAGGAAGGGACCTTGCTTTGAAGACTCAAGTAATATGTTGTGTTAAGGGTCCTAAATAAGCCAAACAGAATTGAATAGTCATCCTTGAGCTATAGGCACACTGCATAAAGATTCATGAAACGTCCCAGAGAACGTTTTTCATTAGTACTATGAAATCCAAGGCTTGTTGCAGTAAACCTATAATTTTTGTACATTTTTAAATTGTGTTATTATCTTTAAAAATCTTTAAAAAATAAGTATATCTGTGATTTTTTTTTTCTCCTGTTATCCACACTAGAATTTCCAAACTGTTTTGTGAATTGTTCCTAAATTTATTTTCCTTTAAGTTGAAATATTTTACATCATGTGCATATGTACATACTGTATTTACATCATGTGCAATATTTACATCACGTGCATCATGTACATACTGTGACTGCATATTTGGAGAAGAGTAATTTTCTATATACCATAGCTGTTTATTTTAGCTTTTTACTTTCGTAACTTCATTCTGTCAAATTATGACTCATCTATATGTAGGATGTTTGTAATTTTGATAACTTCATGCAGAAACTTTTCTATCTCCAGATACTCAGAAAAACCCTCTGTAATGAAGTGATCATTTCTCCAAGAAATAAGAGAGAATGACAAAGCCATTCCATGACCTTCCCTCCCCAGATAGGACAGTTTGGATTTTTTCTGAACTACTGGACACCCATCTCTATGAAAGTAGCAGAGAAGCTGCAGTGCTGTGTGGTAAAGGCCTGTCAGATGACATCATCCCCATCAAACATTAGAATCTGGGTATTTTCCTAGATACCTTGGTTTAAAAAATATCCTGATAGACCATGGCGACTAGATGGTTTGGAGTATCATTTTTGAGAGAGGTGCTAAATAAATTGTGTCCTGTGATACATCTCAAGGACTTTGGGAAAAACTTTTTGTTCCTTATTCACTTCACTCGAGGTCAGTTATTTGTGTGGCAAAGGAGCTGGTTCATTACTGACAGTTATATAGCATGTCTGAACAACAAACTGAATGCTCAAAACCATTCTAGAAAATTCTGCTGCCCTGCTTAGCCTCACCTTTTTTTGATTTTTTATTATCACATTAGAAAATTACTTAATTCTCATGTTGGGAAGTGTCCCAAGATTATTTACTCTGTCTGTGCAGTTTTCAAGTGTTCCAAGTATCACAGGATCAAAAGCATAGAATCAGCACTGAAAATCTGCAATAAGTCAAATGTATTCCAGATAGGAATTTTAGCTAAAAGTATCCTTAAAGAAAAATAGTATAGTATTAGTAAATTAATAAATATTTTTCAGTTTTTATATTTAAAAAAAAATCTTTAAGTTGACGCTTAACTTTGGGGGAAAAGGTGACTCCTTTCTAAGAAAGCATCTCACTCTGTAGTTCCTTTCTTAACATTTGCACCATCCATTAGTTAAATGGTGAGATGCAATGAGAAGTACCATTCACCAGGTTCCCCATTACAATAAGAGGAAAATTTAGACTCATAAATATGATAAATTTCCATAGATTTTTCCATTTGCCCATTCCATTGGGCACTGATGTTTCTGAGGTATAGATAGATTTGTTTATCTTGACATAACAAGAAAATCTCCACATTAAGTGACAGTGACAGAGCTATAAATGCTCTGGAACTTACTTTATGGTATCTTGGTCTTAAGACCAAGGGATAAGGTTATAAAAACTCTAGAAACCACACAGTCTTCTTTTTTTGGGCCACAGCTGCTGACAATACTCATATGGTAACCCTGCAGTACATAATTACAGGATAGATTTGAGCACTGTAGTTCAACGTTCAAGGATCATCTTGGAGAAAATATCAGCAGTGCTGTTTCCACCACACCATCTGCTGACAGCTGATCCAGTGCACTTCCATCAGCATCAGAATAAGATCCATGTATCTTAAAGTGAGATTTGCTACAAGATGTTTTCTAATGTTAAAAATCTAGAATATGATAAAAATACATTTCTGTGAAAAAGGAAAATTTCCCCTGTGAAAAGGAAAACTATTTATTTTAGTTCTCCAGACTGTAGTGACTATGTAAACACTGTTGACATAATCCAAATAACAACACAGTTATTTGTACATTCATTTCTGAGTTCAGAAAAAGCTGCCACATGCCTGTCCTGTTCTTTATTGTCTGGGTTTAGACATCTTGATCAAGTCTTTTTCCAGAAAAATAATAGCTCTCGTGATTTCAGTGGGACAGCATTTCATTTAATGTAACAGGTATTTACAGGTACTAGCTACCTTCAGTCTTCTTTCAGCTCAACAAAAAACCACTCATCCCTCTGTAATGTATATCACAGACCTCAGCTTTCATTTAAAGTCAAGTTATTTTCTCACTTAAAATACCATTTAATTTTTTAGTGACTTAAGAACAAAAGCTTTGATTTTGCTTTCACCATGAGATGCAATTTAAACTGCCAAGAGTTGTTTTCATGCAATTCTGTGCACCTTCAACCCCAAACGTGTGGGTGCTGACAACATGAACAATGATGGAAATTTCCCTTGAAAGTGACCTGTTGATCAGTTAATTTGGCTGCAAGCACTTCTTTCCTATATATGGTCAGGCTGCCCAGAATGTACCACTTGAAACAAGAAAGGCACCTTCTAACACAACCATTACATACTATTGGAGTCCTTCAGAAGAATATCACTTAATTTAAGTAGTACTTCTATTTAGGAAGAACAGCAGTGAGTTTTCATTTGTCTGCTCAGAACTGAATACTCCATGCTGCCATTGGAAATTTGTTGCAACACCAAAAATGCCTTATAATACATTTGGGGTCCTGTGAGCTGCTAAAAGAAAAAAAGCCTGACTAAAAACAAGATAGGTGTAGAAAACTAAGTTCTCCTTTTGGTGACATGAAAATACATGCAGGGAATTATTGATATAAAGGTATAAATCCAGCTAGTCCTAGATGCAATATAATTTTGATTTGGTATGAATTCAAAGCACATGGGGAAAGAGGCATACTCTGATGGGTTCTTATTCCTAACTCAGACTAGGGAGTATATTGAGTGGCCAGTTCCAAGGTATAAAGGGAGGGACATTAAGCTTAGGGGAGAAAAGAGAATAATTTTGAAGTGATGCATAGGCACTGAAAAGCAAAATAATAAAAGGAAGAATGCAGTGGAAAGAACAGCATGGTTTCAGGTGAAATTGTAAGGCTGTGTGAGGGAGTGAGGTGTGAACACCATTTGTTTGTGTACTGTGATCTGAAATGGAGAAAAAGGCATGCAGCTCTTCACCTTCTTTCTGCACTGCGTCACTTTTCCCAAGAGCTGTCCAAACAAAATATCCCAGTTAACCTCATTTAGTTTCCTAGGCCTGATGAAGCACCCACAGCAGGAAGGGAAGCAATTTGGAGGGAAACAATTTGGCTTTACCTTCTTATCTTTGGTTAGAGTGAAAGACAGTTTCTTCCTGATGGTATTTATTACATGCTACTGAGTAAACAAAACTGAAATCTATTCTAAAAGGACAAAGTACACACTTCAGTATGCATCAAATGCACCAGCCTACTTTCTGGTCTCCAGATAATGTAACCTATATATTGCTGTGTGATCCTGGCTGCAAATAGACTCTGAGAGTTGTGAAACCACTGCCATTTGCATAACAGGCCATTACTTATCATGGAGCTTTAGGGCATGCAAAGCACTCAGTATTAGCAGGCTGAGTATGGGATGAACATTTAAAATGAAATTCAAGATACAGATTGTATTCAACTGTGAATTATCTCCTATCAAATAGCTGTAGATCATATGACTTAAATTTATCTTATATGAAAGACACACAGGTTCAGAAAAGAAGCTATAATATATAAAGCATCTGTAAGCAAAACCTGTAGAGCTTTATCAGCGTATTTTAGACTAAAGATTCATTTCTGTTACCTGAAAACTTTCTTGCATTTTATACAACTTTAGACAAGTTAGATTTAATTTTTTTATTGTCTGGAAGAATCTTTTTTCCTCTCTGATATTGAAAGATCTTTTGCACAGATTTACCTATCCTGGATTTTTTGGTGACATATTGGATACCAGATATCCAAATTCTTTCATTCTTACAGACATTATGTATGCACTGACTGTCTTTGTTCAAGCTAAAAAATTATTAAGAAGGTTATAGAGGAAAATACCATTTAAGAATACTTTGATTCACTATTAGTAAAGGTATTTTTGATGAACTGCTCCACTGGACTTTGAAAAGTCCAGTTGTTAAGCAAACTCCAGCTGAACTCATTTCACCTCAGCTAAGTACAAGTCTTCAGAAGTGTAATAAAAAAGCGTTGCTGTTATCTTGAAGGCAACAATTCAGAAGTCAGAAGATTATACATTTGAAAGAAAATATCTCACATCTGACAGAAAGATATTGCCATGTTGTATGTTTGAGGGAATATGAGTGACTTATTCTTACTTTCTCAACTTCACACAGGTGAAGATCACCTCAGTGCTGAAGAAGATGAGGAAGTTTTGACTCTTTTGTATGATCCCTGTCTGAGCTGTAACTTTGATCCAAATTCCAGGAATTACTATGAATTGGTATAGTCAGAACATCAGAGGATATTATTTTGTATTCATAGTATCTTCTAACTTCTTGCAAAATCTGACTGAGCCATATAATTTATTATGTAACTTAAAACTCAAATTAAACAATAGTTTTGCAACCAAATTAATATATTTGGCAAACAATGTCTTATTTTTATAGCTTTGTATTAAATTGTAATGTAGTGGAAGATCACATAGCATAAAAGTTCCTTGTGTCTAAGACAGTTATTTACTAGTCTAATTTATTTCAAATATTCACAGGTTCCATATGAAAACAAATGAATCTGGTTGGTGGTGTTTATGTGCAAACCATGGTTTTACTCAAATGAAAAAAAAGACAAAACTGTGTTTATTGTGTATTTTTAGTTGGTGTGAGATGCTGAGGCTATCAGCTACCATCAGCTTTACTGCTGTAACACAGGGCTGGAGAGTGGTGAGGGATTAGTCCAACAGTCCAAAACTGGAGTCTTGTTTCAGGTAAGGCAAGGAGGTGTTTATGTGATTCATGTGGCAAGCTGTGCTCAGAGGGCAGGTCCAACATGTTTGTATGAGTTTCTCCATTACACCTTGAAATAAAATAATGCAATTCATTTAACATATCTGTATTGGGTTTCAGTGCAGTTTTCAGTGAGGGTTCTAAAGTTCCAAGTTGGAGTTTTAAATTGCCTGCGTCACCGTGCATTTTGCTTTTATGGTATGTAGAATAACTCTACTGATCACAGAGAAAGAATACAGATAAAAAGCAGAATATATGTAGCATTTGAAAATGAAATCACTATATAAAATTAATCAAATACTGTGCATGTACTTTGTTTTATTTATTCATGGATTTATTTATTATGTTCATGCATACTGTGTACTGTACTTTGATCTAAAATCCAGTTAACCTGACCCTGATGTTTCTGGCTGCTGCTCAGCTGAGCTGTGCCCAACATTCCCAGCCCCAGAGCAAGTGCAGTGCTGCTTGCCAAGAGCAGCCCCAACCAACAGGACACTTTTCTAAAGGATAAATAAATTATTAAAACATCAGCTGCCAGATATAGGAGAAAAGGTGTTGCTTAGGAGCTGTCCATGACACAAGAAGTCCAAGGAGTTTTGTTTTAATGGAGTTGAGTCAGTGGAACAGCTTTGGAGTCCACCAGTTCAGTACATAACACTTTCCTGGAGACAGCTGAAGGGAATGTGAAAGTCACGTGGCAAAACTGATCTATAGCATTTCTGGTGACTTTTATTCTAAGTTTCTACTTGATTATATCCAGTGCTATCCCACTGTAATTATTTTCAAGCTGACTACTCAGTGAATTTTTAAGAATAATGTATTTGAATGTCATAAGGCGAGCTTAGTAAGCTCACTGCAAGTGATTTAAAATTATATCCCTGTAAATTATATGTAATTGTAGATCCCAGTTAATGAATATCCTAGAATCAATTGAAAATACAGTTGTTAATAGTGGCTTGGCATAAGATCAGCTTGTGTATTTGGCTCTGTGGCAGGTACAAACATATCATCACAAATTGATTCGAGGAAGAGTAGCACTGAAATCCACAGGAAGACAGATACTGCACTGAGATAATTTACTTACCCCGCCTTAGCCAGAAAGATTTGTACCTGTTCTTGCTAATGCCATAATCAGTTCAAAAGTTCAATGAAATCATAATTTTGACTTTCAAAAATCAGATGTTGGCTTCTACATGCCTGTGCATATCTGGCCATTTTAGCATCAATTAGTGATCAGGACCACATTCCCTCTGTGTGTGGCAAGGGTATTTAAAATATGTTATCAATTCTCTTTCATAGCCACGTCTCACAGGAGAGGTTGGGTGCTCCAGGGCACCACTGTGAGTCCAGGCTGAATCCCTGATGCATCTGAGACAGCCACTCCCTTGGGGGGAAAGAACCAACTAAATACTGGCTGCAAACTGGTGTCAGAGGGGTTGTCTGCCCGCGCCTGTCTGGGTGGATGTGCTTGTCCTGGCTTCACAGCAGGCAGTCACTAACCTGTCACACACAGAAGTGCACCAGTAGGCATCCAAAGCTTGGGCAAAAGGGAGTCCTTGGAGAATCCACACTCTTATCCCTGCCTTTAATGAGCTAAGGAGTCAGGTGAGTAGTGACAGTAGGTTCAGGGTGAGTCTGTTGTTCCCAGTTCATAGTCAAGTACAAATAGGATCTGTTTTCTTGTCATTAGCACAGTAGTATTTTATAAGTAAGCTGTTGTAACCTGCTTTTCAAAATCAGCAGTTTAGGATCCTTGCCCTTTGTGTTCTAGTTAGCAGCTTTATGTCTTCGCCATCCATGGGGATTGATTGCTGTGATGCTGTGAATAACACCTCTGGCTTGAGCAGCACCAGAGGCTCACAAGGACTCTGAGTTTTGCTCACAATGTTTTTCTTAATCATCATCCTGTGAACCTCGAACTAAACCACTGCTGACATGCAGCAGGTGCTTTGTTGAGCCGATTTGTCAAAGCCAGCAGTTATGGCAAGTGATGAGGAACACAGAATTTGCTCTTAGCAGTCATGTGCAATGTTTGAGCCCATGAGAATCACACAGTTCTCACTAGAGCACGCTTTCCAACAGGTGTCTGGGCATAAAGTTTCAGGTTAATGAAACTGCAGGGATTTATTCTACAAACTTGGGATCAGTTATGATTTTTGGGAACAGAAATTTTGAAATGTGGTGAATTTTAGTAAGGCTTCATTAATGTTCCTTGGACCTGCATTAAAAATAGAGGAATTGAAGTTAGCTTGGCAGAGCTGCTGGAGTCAGCAGATCACAAGTCAACCAATTGGTCTCTCAGGCCTTTCTATGTTCCTTACACATTTGAGATGTAACTGATATCTCTGCTTTGTTTCTGCTTGCTAAGAAACAGTCAACCAGCTTTCAGATAGTTCAGAAGACAGAAGAAAACTTTAAGACACATTTTATGGTTTTAAAACACAGCCCAGAGCAGTGTGTTTCTATGTTGCTAGAATAATTCTCCTAATTTCTCATTCTTTTTGTCTTAGGTCCATCTACCAGGCTTTTCTCCAAAGTCCAGCCAAATTACCAGGTTTCAACCTTCAGGTGTCTGTGGAGAGCAGCAGCACTGAGGTGCAGATCACTGACAACCTGGTAGTTTGTGGCACCACGTGGACTCCTCCAAGCAGCTCTAAGACTTCATAATCTTGCAGTGCTGTACCCAAGTGTTGTCTGTACCTGAGCCTCATTATGCCAAACAAAGAACACACTCTGTCCTAAGGAGCTTACAGTAAGAAATCAATATTGATTTGTCTCCTCTGCTGCCTGGGTTACTAGGTGAGAAAATATGAAAAGTCATGCATTATTATTCACATATTCTTCAGCCGTAAAGTGTTCTGTTCAGAGGCACATCCTCTAAACACTGAGTCAAAAGGCAAGGATACACAGGCTGGAAAATCCTTGAAGATAATTTTGCATAATGCATTTCATAGTAAATTTCTTTTTTCTATGGTCTTCTCTTTCAAAAAAGGGCTGAATTTTTTTAAGCAATGGGCTACAGGTAAAATGAAAAAAATCCAGTCTGTCTTTCCTGTGTGATATTGCTGATAATCACTGCTTTTCTCATGGTTACTATAGAAACTTGGCATCCTTATCTGCCACCTTTTTTGGCACCTTGAAAAAAACTATTTAAGTTGAGTTCCCTGATAAACTGAAAGCTTAGCTTCATGATACCCATGGGAATATGTAACAACAATATTTGTCATTTCTTCTTTTTTGGTGTTTAACTTGCTCATTAGCAGCTGTAGAGGCATTTCTGACTGTGATGTTCAGGGATCCTGCTGCAGGCATTGTCACCAGCACAAGTGCAGAAGTCCTGGATGAAACCCAGGAACAGATGTGAGCTCCCAAGGGCTCACATGCAGCAGCCCAGGATGCAAAGTCCTGAGCAGGATTGTGCTCTTATCACACCACTCTGAAAGCAGTTCTGTTTCCAAGCTTGACAGTTTTCAAGTGCACAAATAATCTGGGGGCATTAAACGACATGGAAGGAGTGATTATGAAGGTTCCTGTGGTAAATCAGTGGTGAATCAACAGCTTTGTGATGCTTTTAATCCCTTTCCAAGTATGTGCCATCCAGTCTGCATGGCAGATGAGAGTGCACTTGGGCTGGGGATGCTGGGGTGCTGAGAGACGTTTCTGGAGGTGAGTACAAGGCCAATGCAAACACCAGTTGTCCCGGCTGAGCACAGCTCCGCAGCAGTTTCACATTTCTTTTGTTCTAAGGGCACCAGAATTATGTTTGTAACAAACGTTGTTCTTCTAGTTCTGTCAAAATGTGGTCCAGATAGGTTCCTCTGCTTACACAGCCCCTGCACTGGTGTCCTTCAAGATCTCTGCACAGAAATCCCCTCAGCACTGGAAGAGAAAGGAGATGTCAACACCTGAACAGCTGCTTTTGGCTCCCATCCATGTGGGGCAGAACATTCTGCTAAAGCCAGAGCATTTGGTGATCCATCCCTGCAGCTGTGGCATCTTCAGCAGATCTTGGGGTTTTAATTTGTTACCGTGTTCTTTCACCAGGAGTTTTGAAGAACAGAGAGGTTTGAAAGATTACAGAAACAGATTACAAAGCAGCAGAAGAAAAATGCTATCAAGAGCCATTAAATAAAGTGCTGTTTTACTTCTGCATTGTGGCTGGAGTGCTCCTGGGGACTAACACTGTGTCCTCATCCCAAACCTCACAGGCCACTGCCAGAGAAGAGGTTCAGGTTATGCCAATAGTGGGTCCTCTGCACTGACCCACAGAGCACCAGTAAAATACTTTTCATAAAGAAACACAGCCAGGCTCCCAGTACAAACTGCTAGTATACTTCAGAAGATGTTTACATTAGATTGCTTAGGGGGTTTTTCAGTGAAAAAGTTCATTATTGGATGATTGTGCATTTTATCTGTGTGGGAGGCCAAAAACCTGAGGTCACAGAAACTACTGACGTTGTTTTAGAGCACTGCATATTTATTAGACCATCTGCTGCTGCAG